AGAAAAGAAATGAGAAGTTTTAACTTGAACTAACCAATTTCATTAGGTATTGCATCTAATTCATTTTCTTCCAAATCCAATTCACGAAGCTTTTTTAAACTACCAATTTGTGATGGAAGCTTTTTGAGCATATTGTTACTCAATACTAATACCTGAAAAGAGTTCATCAATTTTACAAATATCAATCAGGAATAGGAATTTGGTCAAAGTATTATTTCAATATTGTTTGACATACTTCTAAATTAACAAGTTTGTCAACATCATCAGGAAGTACACGAAGTTGATTGGTGGATAAATTCAATTCTGTCATCGCTAGCCAACAACCCATATCTAGAATGGAAAATCGGAAAAGTTCATCAAAAATTAACTAATCATTAACCTGACAAAATATAGACAAATGCAAATTCCTAATTGTTAAGAAATAAATATTTTAAAAATCCTAGCTGAAAAATTAGGAAAATCTTACAAAAGAGTTCGGAAAACTAAAAATCAAAAAATGAAATTTAAATGTTGATGGAACAAAAGAACATTTGGATCTAAAACTATAGGAATGGAAGAGTATTCTAGTAATATAAGTGCGTGTACATTTGCATAAGTATACTTCGTTATTACATACTATAAAATTAATTATGTTCACAAACCAACCAAGTGGCATTGATGTAAGAGCATTCTCCTTCAAATTAAGTTTGGTTAAACCTGTTGCTTTGGAAAATATCCCAAATGGAATTTTTGCTATTGCATTATGTTCCATATTGATCGACTGAAATTAAGATTTAAATAGAAATGCATATTCGAAATTAATTTTGAAATAAGAAATACAATTATATTCCACAAAATGTTCCAATAATTTCATTTACCATTAAAATAATAATAAGCTTTGCAGGAAGTGTCAAGTCTTATTTCATATTTCAATAACATTGAAGTGGGAACATATTATGTTTGTAATTTGAAGTGATCAGAATTAAAAGTGATAAACGTAGAAATTCCATAACAGTAGTAGTAGTACTCAATCACCACAATGATAATAAATTTGTTACAAAGATAAGCCGATAACTTAGAATGCAATTCCCAAGAGTTTCTCGAAGTACTTTAAGTTTCAGAGTATCTAAGAACTTTTTTTTGCTTGTTTTTTTTCTCCTTTTTGATAAAGTGTTAGTGTTAGCGCTGTTACCAGTGAACTTGATGTATTAGTATTTTGGAATATATTTTATGAAAAGTAAAATTTGATGAAATCCAATAAATGTTAAATGTGTTGTTCCAAATCTTTCGCTGTTTTTCCTTTTTTTTTCTCTTTTCGAAATTAGAAATAATTATGATTTTTCCGGGGAAGAAAAAAAAAAACGACACACCACACATGATGCAAATTGTTGAGGTCCACCAGATGGAAAAACAGTCAATTCATTACGACTCAAATTAATTGTCTTAAGATTGGGTAATGAAGCAAGCATACCTTCCTAAAAATAAAAATAAAAGGAATATCTTTTGTTTTAGAATCAGTGAGAAAAAAAGAAAGGAAGAAAAACTCCCCTTAATTAACATATGAAATTAGTAAACTGATAACAATAAACTTAAAATCCAAAAATTTCATAATTATTTAATAAATCATTTTAGATATTTAATTTTCAATTTGAACTGATTTCGTAACTTAAATAATGGTATTATATAGAATTACAAATGAGAATAAATAATAACCGGTAAAGCTTCCAATTGATTGCTTTCAACTATGAACTCTTCCAGCTTATGACAAAATGCCATTCCGGATGGTAAATGTCGTAATTTGTTATAGCGTATACCCAAACGAATCAAATTTTGCAAATTACCCATCGCTTCCGGTAACGATACGAGATCATTGTGTTGCAAATCCAGTTGTGTAAGTTCTGAACATTGACCAATCTCTGAAAATTGAAAAGAATTTTTCAAAAATATTTTATATGTAAAAAGTATATATAAAAGCACTAAGTAGAATCATGACAAAATCTCATTTTCCTTTTTAATTTAAATGCACTTAAAGATTGAATAATTAATTTCATTTCAATTGATACAATATCAGATTAAATTTGAGTGATTAGTTTCATTTTAAAATGTAAATTTGTACGAGTAATACGTTTAGGATAATTTAGAATGATAAAAATATATTAGGTATACCTATTCTAATTGTAAGAATTAAAGTTATCACTTTTTAATTTCATAAATATTAGCGAATTATATATTAGGTATAGCCATTCTAATTGTAAGAATTAAAGTTACCACTTTTTAATTTCATGAATATTAGCGAATTATATATTAGGTATAGCCATTCTAACTGTAAGGATTAAAGTTATCACTTTTTAATTTCATGAATATTAGCAAATTATATATTAGGTATAGCCATTCCAATTGCAAGAATTAAAGTTATCACTTTTTAATTTCATGAATATTAGCGAACTTTATAAAACATGTAATATTCTATTCGGATAGTTTCGCTTATATTTTGAATGTGTAGCAGTGAAATAAATATACAAAAATGTTTAACAGATTGATAATAAAGATAAAAACAGTAATAGAAATGATAATATAGGATCAAATATAAACAAACCTTCAGGTATAGTTCTTAAATGATTGTAACTAAGTAAGCATACAATAAGCGATTTAATTTGCCCAATTGTTGGAGGTAATTCGCGTATTTTATTTTCACGTAAATCAATCATTTTCAATCGTTTTAAACGACCAATCTCGGAACCAATTGAAACAATTCGATTGTACCGTAACCACAATGTTTCCAATGAACTAATCTGATAGATAACAGGTGGCAACTAAAAATAAAAATAATGGAAATTTCACAAATTTATACCTTTCAATCATCATTCCTTTTTTTTTTTTGGGCAAAATAACTTAATCCAGAATCGACAATTATATAATCAAAATTTTTAGCAAATTTTAAGAATGTATCAAAATTCGAATCCATTCATATTTTATTGCATTTCATTTTGTTTTTGAGAATGGAATTATTGTTGCAAAAAATTTTCAGTAAAATTCAAATTCATTATTATTTTATTTTTAATTTTTCAACCTCGACCTCGCATAATTTGTTGTGACGTAAATCGAGTGTTTCAAGACGGGTAAGTGCAGCAAGTGTATCCGGTAATGATGTGAGACCATTTTCGCTTAAACCCAATTTTTTTAAATTAACTAAATTACCAATTTCATTCGGTAATACTGCCAGTTTGTTCTTATACAGAAATAGTTCCGTTAATTGGACTAAATCACGAATGGATGATGGAATGCTTACAATCTGAAATAAGAAACAATAATGATAATTCATAGAAAAAAAAAAGCCCATATTAGCATATTTTTTAACAAAAGCAATATCAATCATTCACATTATCATTTCTAATTTCGACTTTTATATTAGTCATTATTTTATATAATTTCAATTAAATGATTTTTACATTCTAAAAATCAAAAATTCATAGATTAACCGTTAATAAATGAACAGTAAGTTTGCAAAAATGGATTATTGCTAATATTACTGATCTTTAAGTGACAAATTGTAGCAATGAAAGGAGATGAACTTACATCGGAAGAACTTAAATCCAATCGTGTTTCCTCATTATCCTTGCACTTTTGCAAATCTCGTTGTAAATCCTGCAAAAACTAATCAGTGCTTCGCAAAAAAAAGAAATCATGAAACTGTGCTAATTAATTTGAAAGGTTTTAAATTTAAAATTTCTAAAATTCCAGATAATTGAATCAAAAAGTCATATCAACAATGTAAAAAAAAGCCAAGTACAATAATGTTTCTTATTTTTTGCATGAGAAAGAAAAATAAATTTTCCCGCCTTTTAATTTAACTTAAAATCTTTCCGCCAACTCATTGATTTGAAATTTTTTTAAATGAAGCTTTTTTTCTTAATAAAACTTTTTTGAAGAAAAAATTTCCATTTTATTTTGAACAAAATATTGCCATAATATAGTTCATTATAGTAAATAAAGTTTTATTTTAATAAAGTAATCGTCTCCTACCAGTTTAATTACGTAAGTAAAGTAATTTCTGTTAATCCCTATCAGTAGTAATATATATTCTGATAATTATTAAGGATGGTTTGTCAGGAATAACCAAGTTCATAAACTTGGTTAAAACTTCATTTTATACTCCCTCGAGAAATAGATTGTACCTAAGAAGATCCTGTTTTGTTTGTTCCTTTTTAAATGGCAATATTTTCTTTTAATCTAGCTTATTAATCCTCTCCCATTTTGCCTCATATTTTTTGATGAGCAAAAAAAAAAGAAAAAAAAAGAACAAATATTTAAATTTAATTTTACCACTTAAGTGATAATTTCTGATTTTACTTATTTTCAAGACAAATAATTCGCTAAATCGCTCTAAATACGCATTATGTTAGTGATATTTATAAATGAAATTTTTGAAGAAAATAATATGAATCATTTGGGATGATATTTTAACGGAGAGATGAATAATTTATCATCAAAGATTATCATATATCTCTTCGATTATCATCAAAGATTATCATATATCTCTTCGATAGATGCGAAATGCAATCATAATTTTACAGTAATTATTTTATAAGGTATGAAATTTTATAAAATATTATTAGTTGATGAATTTGATGCCAAATATTAATGAAATCATATAAATATGATATATGTGTAAACTTCTAGCGATAACAAAGATAATAATAGCGGATGACATGCATGAAGAAATGAAACTTTCAGATCTTTTTCTTTAAATATAAAGATTTAGGGAAAAAAAAAAAAAGAAAAACGAAATACAAATTCTGTCATTGAGGCAAAACAGGATGAAGGTTGAAGTTTAAAAGTTATTTGTGATATTCGAGTAATTCAACTTTTTTCCCCCTTCCCCCGTTAAAATATATCCAATTAAAAAATTGATTTAGTGATAAATTACTGATATATAGCTCAAAAGTATGGGAAAATTCTCGCCAAATAACAAAAACGATTAGAGTTATCTAATTAAAACAATGAAATTATGAGATGATATATTAAAAATCTGATGGGAAATGACTGTAGAAACTTTG